ACCTGAAGTTGTTCAGGTGGAGATTTTCCCAGAAAAACAGCGRGAATTTCCATTTCCTGCTCAATTTTCAGCCGTTCCCAGATGTAATTCCCAGTTTTTATTCCCAATTTCCATTCCCAGTATGCCCTGGAGAGGCTCAAGGTGATGTGTGAGGACGCTCTCTGCAGTCCCAGCTGTTCCCAGGTGTATTCCAGGTGTCCCAGCTGTAATTCCCAGTTTTTATTCCCATTTTTCATTCCCAGTACGCCCTGGAGAGGCTGAAGGTGATGTGTGAGGACGCTCTCTGCAGTCCCAGCTGTTCCCAGGTGTATTCCAGCTGTTCCCAGCTGTTCCAGGTGTAATTCCCAGTTTTTATTCCCATTTTTTCCCGTTCCCAGTATGCCCTGGAGCGTCTCAAGGTGATGTGTGAGGATGCTCTCTGCAGTCCCAGCTGTTGCAGGTGTAATTCCAGGTGTAATTCCCAGTTTTTATTCCCATTTTTTCCATTCCCAGTATGCCCTGGAGAGGCTCAAGGTGATGTGTGAGGATGCTCTCTGCAGTCCCAGCTGTTCCCAGCTGTTCCCAGATGTAATTCCAGCTGTAATTCCCGGTTTTTATTCCCATTTTTTTCCATTCCCAGTACGCCCTGGAGAGGCTCAAGGTGATGTGTGAGGACGCTCTCTGCAGTCCCAGCTGTTCCCAGCTGTTCCAGGTGTAATTCCAGGTGTAATTCCCATTTTTCCATTCCCAGTACACTCTGGAGAGGCTCAAGGTGATGTGTGAGGACGCTCTCTGCAGTCCCAGCTGTTCCAGGTGTATTCCAGCTGTTCCCAGATGTATTCCAGCTGTTCCAGCTGTAATTCCCAGTTTTTATTCCCATTTTTTTCCATTCCCAGTACGCTCTGGAGAGGCTCAAGGTGATGTGTGAGGACGCTCTCTGCAGTCCCAGCTGTTCCCAGCTGCTCCCGGGTGTATTCCAGGTGTTCCAGGTGTAATTCCCCGTTTTTATTCCCATTTTTTCCATTCCCAGTACGCTCTGGAGAGGCTGAAGGTGATGTGTGAGGACGCTCTCTGCAGTCCCAGCTGTTTCCAGGTGTATTCCAGGTGTTCCCAGCTGTTCCCAGCTGCTCCTGGGTGTATTCCAGCTATTCCCAGGTGTAATTCCCAGTTTTTATTCCCATTTTTTTCCATTCCCAGTACGCTCTGGAGAGGCTGAAGGTGATGTGTGAGGACGCTCTCTGCAGTCCCAGCTGTTCCCAGCTGTTCCAGGTGTAATTCCAGGTGTAATTCCCATTTTTTTCCATTCCCAGTACGCCCTGGAGAGGCTGAAGGTGATGTGTGAGGACGCTCTCTGCAGTCCCAGCTGTTCCCAGCTGTTCCAGGTGTATTCCAGGTGTAATTCCCAGTTTTTATTCCCATTTTTTTCCATTCCCAGTACGCCCTGGAGAGGCTGAAGGTGATGTGTGAGGACGCTCTCTGCAGTCCCAGCTGTTCCAGGTGTATTCCAGCTGTTCCAGATGTAATTCCCAGTTTTTAT